GAAAGTAAGAGGACGTACCAGTCATGTGTTTTGACGCTCCAGAATCAATGATCCATGGAGAGTCAGGGGTGTGAGAAGCAACATGGAAAGCAGTGGCAGGGTTACCTGACGTAGATGCAAATGAGGTTGAGGGAGGAGCATTCATCTGACGAATTACTCTACCATAGAGCTCTAAATGGTCACGGAAGGAATTCATAATATCCTCCCTCGGGTCAGGTCCAATGAGATGTGTCTGAGTCACAGTAGAAATGGGGGGCTGATTCTCCCAAGTAGCCATGTTGGTCATGTGATGTTTCTTTGTACCTTGCTGTTCGGACCTCTTATTCACCTCTGAACCTTGCTTCTTAGTCAGATCTTGAGCYCATTTTGGTTTCCCATGAAGATCCCAATAGGTATCTTTGGTGTGTCGGGGTTTCTGGCAATGAGTGCACCACAATTTTTCCTTATCTTCTGTTTTTTTCTGGAGATCTCCTTTCCGGGAAGAAGATCTATCTTTGGTGTGTCGGGGTTTCTGGCAATGAGTGCACCACAATTTTTCCTTATCTTCTGTTTTTTTCTAGAGATCTCCTTTCCTGGAGGAAGATCCCACACCAATAGAGACACCCCCTTTTGCTACCAACACAACAGCATCCCCACCAGGGCTGTTCATCAAATTTCTTTTGCTTTCTTCAGACTATACAAGAGCATAGACTTCCTGAACAGATGGGAGATCTTTAGAGCTGAGAATCTGAACCCTGATAGATTCATACATAGGATTCAGACCATGTAAGAATGCAAACACCCTTTGTTGGGAGACAAGTTGCTTGTACTTTTTGGCATCCTCATCACACTTCCAATCCACACTCTGGTAGTGATCCAACTCCTTCCAGACAGAGGTCGAGTCAGAGTAATAAACTGATAAACACCTCTCCCCCTGTCTACAAGTAGATGATGCTGCCTGTAGTTGATAAATTTTGGCATAGTGTCGCAATTCTGAATAAGTAGACTGTGCTTGTTCCCAGATTTCATTTGCAGTTTCAGCCCACATGAAATTCTTCCTTATTTGAGGTTGCATGGAAACCAAGAGCCAAGACATAACAAGAGGGACAACAGTGATGGTTCTTTTATCCTCCCATTAATATAGCCTATCTTCCCCCTTGCAGTGATGTATAATTTGATCCCTCTTGACCACTC